AAGTGCCCAACAACGCATGGACAAAAAAAAATATCCAAGACTGGTTGACAAATCAAAACATACCATTTTTAAACACAATGTTTAAAACAGAGCTATTGAGTATTGTTGCTCGGTACATAATGCTTCTTAATTATATATATTTTGGTCGACGGTTTATATTTCTTTTGTTTATTCCTATTCTTAAAATAACTGCTTTTTTAGAAACAAACCACCTAAAATATACGTGATTGATGAATTGGCGGAACAACATGGGCACAAAGTTCTTCGTCTGCCTCCTTACCATTGTATATTTAACCCTATTGAGTTAATTTGGGGCATAGCAAAAGGTTACTATAACAGACATATTGGTAGAGATGGTAACAGTGAAAAAGACTGTTTGGATATGTGGAACGAGGATCTACAAACGGTTACCCCAGACATGTGGAAAAATAGTGTTCGACATACTGAGCAAGAAATTTTTAAATGGTATGAAAGAGAACGAATTTTTGATCGACCAGACATCGAACCTTTAATAATCAACTTTGAGAGTGATGAAGATTCAGATTCAGACAGCGCTGAAGAAAGAAACTCCGACTAACTTTATTGTACAGAAAAAGCTTACACCAGTAGCTTACCTAATTTTAGAATGCATTTTTCTGTATGAATTCTGTAAAATAAATACCATGCATAAAATTTGGAGGACCCCATTTGGATTTTTATTCAGTACCTTTAAGCTATCAATTAAATATGGTAGTTTCATAGTGTCATCTGATCAATAATTGTCATACTTAATGATTATGCAAGTACAGATCTATAATTTTATTATACTATTATTTTTGTTCTCATTTGAGGTTAATATTGCTTATAAACCTAGATATGTAAATAATAAATTTTATTATTTTACAAAAAGTTTGGCAACAATGTAAATTTTTCAACACACCCACCTTGATGACGTGCACGCCACTTTGTTTAGCGTTGACTATACGTGCAGTGTTCTAACTACAGTGAATTTTAAGTGTCACCAAGTCATTAGAAAAATGGAACTCAAGCGAGAACATTTTCGCGCCATAATTTATTACAACTTTCAGAGACAATTATCGCAACCTTGCTGAGTTACTGTCTGTTTTCGGCAACGAAGCGCCACATCAGTCGACAATTTCCCGTTGGTATAGAGAATTCAAACATGGACGGGTGAGTCTTAGCGACGATCCCAGGGTGGGTGCACCAAAAACGGCATGTGACATATCGCGAGACTGAGACATCCTTGAAGATCTCAAAGACCTCATTCAAAAAATTTTACATGAAGAATTAGGAGTAAGAAAATTAGTTTCTCGTTGGATACCCCACTTGTTGACTAAAAAGCAGAAAGCAGCCAGGGTTAATTGGTGTCAAAAAATGCTTGACCGTTTCAATTCTGGAAACTCAAAAAATGTTTAGAGCATTGTTAGTGGTGATGAATCGTGGATTTACTGTTATGAACCAGAAGATAAACGACAGTCGGCTGTTTGGGCGTTCCAAGGTGAAGAAAAGCCGACAAAAATCATTCGTTCTGGAAGTGTTTCGAAAAAGATGGTCGCGACATTTGTGTCAAAAGCGGGTCATACTGCAACAATTCCTCTTAATGAGCAAAGAACTGTTACTGCGGATTGGTGTACCACCATTTGTTTGCCAAAATTCATTACCGAACTTCGAGGAATCAAACGCGAAAGAAGAATCATCCTCCACCAAGACAATGCAAGCTAGCAAACAGTCCAAAAAAACAAGGCAGTATTTAACGGAAGTAAACGTGGAATTATTGGACCATCCTCCATATAGTCCCGATCTAAGTCCTAATGATTTCTTTACTTTCTCAAAAATGAAAAACAGACTGCGTGGTCAAAGGTTCCAGTCACCAGAAGAAGCAAATGACACACTCAAAAATGTCGTTTTGGATCTGCCACCAAACGAGTGGAGTAAGTGCTTCGAAAAAATTTGTTCGAGCGCATGCAGATGTGTATTAGTCTTCGTGGAGAATACTTCGAAAAACAATAAAGTCATTTAAAACTACCTACCGTGTTGTTTTGTTTCCATACGCAAAACTTAAAAGACATCCCTCGTATGAAAGTATTTCCCTGTAGTGGTGTAGCGGTGTGGCCATATCGACATGGAGCTAGAGTCAGTTACGTATTTATTGTGCTTATATCGAAATATGAGCATAACATAGCATATGCATACGATATTTTATGTAAGTTTAGTTTTAGTTCACTGAGGGTGTGTGTTGGGTTTACCTGTTAACACCCCAAACTGTATATAAATAAATAAATAAATGTTATACATGCTTATTTTATCATTTAATTTTCCCGTTGCTACAGGGATGAGAAGCTTCTTTACGATAGAACGTCTTTGATTGATACTACAGATGTAACATTTACAACCCCTTACCCCCTAAAACGCCCAATCTCCAATTCTCAGCCCTTACAAAATTTGTTTTAAAGTGATCAGGAGCATCTGAGACGTCAAAAAACGAAGTCTGAGCAACTTTATTTTTTTTGCCCTTTTCTCCATCGCCGCTGGTCTGATATTCAGAAACTAGCTTTTTCGTCCTTAGTATAGTAGCCACATTCTATTTATTAATATCCGGACGGTACTTCTCAAGCTATAGGCGGTTATACGATTAGTGGACAGACCAATAGACAGACAGGCCAACGGAAACGAGTGACATGGTTTTTGTGATGTACATGTTTTATAACTTTTTATTTTCTCAATTTTTTGCAATTACAATACTTCCTCGCCCAGTGGCGTTAAGTAAAAATTGCGCCTTGTGGAAATATATTACAAACTTTTCAGACTGATAAGCTTTATAGCGCAGTTCGTATTCTATGCAAAAACAGAAAAGAGGTGAAGTTGATACAATTAATGAAACGTATGATTAAGTAGGCCGATAGGCCGATTCATATATCGACCGATACTGCTGATACGCCGATATACATATCGGTATAGGTCTATCCCTAGCGGCAATGTCAATAAGATGTGTCTACTACTGTCTACGTACGTCTATGTTTCTAAATGCAATACAGTAATTGGTAGTGCCATTTGATACATTTGCGTATGTACTGTTTGCGGGATCATATATTCCTAGAGCACTATAACGAATTCTGTAACGATTTGTGAACAACAGATGTGATGCTGTTACTCAGATGAGGATCTTATATTTTACTATTACTAACAAATATAACTAAGGTTCTGGAATGGAAAAGTGGATCCACAATAACCTTTGGCCATAATAAAACAAGCTTACTTCTTATTTCGCGCGCAGTTCTCCAAACTAAAGATAAATATTCTATTTACATATTATTGCTCTTGCAGATTCCGAATCTTTATTCTAAAATTAATAAAAGCATTTTTGGTGTGTTCATTATATTTCCGTAATCTATTTTATAAGGAATAATTCACCAACTTTTTAAATGATGGCTTATTCAAAAATTGCATGCCTACCTATCCATATGTATTCGGCGTGATTTTAAATGTTGAAATCATTATATTCCATATCCCTCTCTGCATGAAATTTGTCCATACAAAGCAGGTTATTATGTGCATCCATTTAGCATAAAACGTATTAAAGTTTGTACAACAAACTTTAATCGGATTCAGGATGCTAACAACACCATAACTTCAGAGCCGTTGCATCTACATGAATGTGTGTATAGGAAGAATATGCTGAAATATTTGTTATTCCAGTGCTTAGAGACCTCTCGGGAAAATAGTTGTTTTGTGAGATTCATTCCGTAACCTACTATCAGTCTAGCAATAAATAACAGCTTAAGAAAACTGAAAAATAAACATTAAAAGCAAATCGAACTAAAAAGTAGAAAATAGTTTTCGTATTGGAGAGTTTGTGTGACTGCAATAGAAAGTCAAAAAATCAGTATGGCTGGTTAATTTGGAATATAAAAATTGAGATCTTGAAGAAATTCAATTGTAGTAAAAAAGCTTGATATTAAAAGATAGAATTATATTTTTAGTTGCTATTTATAAAATTGGAGTTATTATTATTATTTATTGATTTATTATTATTAATTAAGTTAATTGTTTGTTAATATCTTATTTTTTATATTGATCTTATTCAAAATCCGTTAGTCATACTATATTTTTGGACGGTTGACTAACACAACATCTTGTTAAAAAGGTTAGCGTGATTATCCAGGTAATTGCGAAATGGTCATAATTTGATCTCCCAACTAAATCACATTTTCTCTAAATGTATTAATGTATTATTCTCTATCTAATTTATGACAAAAAAAAATAACTAGTTCAAATCTGAATCCAGTAAACTTCTGCTCCTAGACTGACTAATTACTGTCTGACTCTCCTGCGTCTGCCTTTTAATACATAATTATGTGACTTATTCTAAGTCGTTTCAGAAGCATTGAGGTTTCTGCTCGAGTGCCAGCATATTTATCTGGCTGGTGCCGGCAGATGGCGCTCCCGCTACCACGACTGTTCTTATGCCCTCTCCAGACTCACGCCGCGAACTACCCGCGACCCATGAGTGGATCCCATTCAGTATTCTTCGCGGCTTCACGTCGCGTTCCCGCGTTGTGCCGTTACCACTGAGAGTACAAAGCCAAACAACTGGGCTGTGAAAAGCCTGTGACGTCACGCAGAGTAGGCCTATGCATGTTCTTATGGAGTTTCGCGATGCTGGCTGGCAAGAGAGCAGCGCCATTATTTCTCTGCGGTGTTGTCATATCTAGATTTGATATAGCAGTATCGAAATCTCTACTAATTAGTTGTACCTCTCTGTGGGCGAATTTGCAAGATGTACTCGGGGCCTGTGTAGCTTCAGTGATGATGTGATTATTCTTTCTGATCTGCCTCAGTATGTCAAGAATACATTTTCGATATTACGTTCAATCCGTCACTTGTGAAGTCTAATAATTGGAATATGTGGCAACCTTGGTAACACCCCTAACATCCCATTGCCAACTAACCTCAAATTCTGAGTCTCTGTTATGTATCTTTCTGTGCTATGTAAACTGTAAATTATTGATGTTTTAAACGTATATTTGCGTCTCGCGATTGTTTAGCTAAGTTTTCAAAATGCCTTGCAAGTGCTGCATTCCTAATTGTGCCGGTAATTACGGGAAGGGTCCGAAGGTACACGTATTTTCGTTTTCATTAAATGAAAACTGTCGTAAAAGATGACTCAATGCAATCCCTCGTAGTGATTTAGTGGTCACAAAAAACAGCAGAGTACGCGATTTGCACTATGCTGAGGACAGCATCATTTGGGAATCCACCTTCCATGACGAAAAGACAGGTAGGACCATTACTGTACCCCCTTAAGTATCCAAAATAGAAGGTAGATGTAATTCCAAGTATCTTTGCAAATTATACAAAATATCTTTCAAAGGACATATCAAGCAGAAGAAGCCGAGATGAGAAATTGAGGGACAAGGAACAAGAACAACTACTTAAGGCACAGCAAAGTAGCATTGATGGTAATTCCTCCTATCCAAAATCAACAAGTTTTCAAAATTATTCAGACTTTCTCACAGTTTTCAGTTCATGGCAATGTCCATATGGGTGGCATAAAATTGTTCAGGATAAAGTTACTTTGTTTAAGTTAGAATATAAACCAGCACCAACATAACTCACTCTGTAATTGTTGATAAAGATCTCAATGTAAAAACGTACTTCCAAGAATTGTTACTCAACTCTGGTAATATTAAAACTCCATTGTTATTATCTAATATACACCACTTGGATGATGTTCTGAATGTTCTTTCTGAGAATGTAGATGCTTCGAGGGAATATTCAGGTAACGACCAGTTCAGAACCACTATCAACCATGCTTACAATATTTTAAATAGCACAGAACTATTCACCGATGAAGAGACCCACACTGTCATTCAATTTATTTGTGAGCAACTAAAGCTTGCTATTAGTCAGAAGAACAGACACAGTTACTCATCAGAAACAATAGTGTTTTGCTCTATGTTTTATACAATCAGTCCACGTTCATATAGATTTATTAGGAGCCATGAAGCACTTATTTTACCACACCAAAATACTCTGAAGTCAATTTGTAATGCATTGATGTTCGATCCAGTTCCCGATGAGAGATATAACTTTTTAGGCTATACAAAAAACCTTTTCAGATTTGTAAAACTTGGTGAGGAGTACATGATTTTATTGATGGATGAAATACACATTCAGCCATATTTAGATTTCAAAGGGGGTAATATTGTTGGAACGTCAGGTAATAATACTTCATTAGTTACAACAGCCTATGTGTTTATGATTTCAAGCTTCTACTCCAATTTCAAAGAAGTTGTTCAAATCTGTCCTGTTTCTAAAATTGATCTATTATACAATATGACAAAAAAACTGCACTGAATAGTAAAGCGAGGGCACATTTTTCTCCAGATAATAAAACAAGCGTTGTTTATCCGCATCCGTAAATTGACTACATTCACATGAGGCCGCAACATTTACATAGCTGTAGATAAATGTTGATTTGAAAATATTCAAAATTTAGCACTATAATTTTATTTATTCTAATTTTTGTTATTTTTGATACTTGTTTCCTGTTTTCTAATTTTTGTTACTATTTTGTGCTGTTATTTGTTTGTTCTAATAGTTTTTATTAAGTTATTGTTAATCTTTGTTATGTTTTTTTCTGTTGTTTATTTTACTTTGATTTTATCTGTTTTTCTTATCATTTATCCTACAATTTTTCCTCCTCATCTTTCTTATTCCTTTCCTGGCAAGAGCTTACCTCAGACCTCCTCGTTGGTTCTTGCTGGACTACAAGCACTACATTTTTTATATAACTTTCAAGTAGCGTTATATTATACCTCTAATAATAGTAAATTGTCCACATATTCCTATGAAATTTTGTTGATTGGTTATGACTAACATGGGGTTATTCATTGAAGAATTTATCATTTTTAGCAAGCTTTTATAACATCAACTAATTAATCTAATGTGCCCGTAATGTTAGATGAAATATCAGTGAAAATAAGGGTGAAAATAGTTAATAACTATTTTCCACCAAGTTGCCTTCATATACCAAAAACACTTTTCTGAATTATTTGTTATTTAAATCAATTAGAGTATATTAAATATGCTGCAATAATATATTATTCACTAGCGCTGATGTACGGCACGCCGTGCTGTCGGCCGGCCAACCGGCCTACTCGTGGTGACGTCACGCGTCTGTTGTTAGGCCTTGTACTCTCGTTGGTAACGGCATACTACGCCAACAGGTGGCACTTATGTCGTCACAATATGGCCTAACGTTTTTATACTGTAGCAGCTGCGGAGGCAAAGCCTCAATACTCAAGTGCTATTACTGCAATGTAGACAAAACATGCTGCTCGCTTTGTTTTTGATCTCCATAAGATTGAGGAGACCCGTTTTGTCACATTGCTTCAGAACAAAGGAGCATAAGCACCAGCCAGTTCCGGAAATAATAATGTGTCTTAATTTTTTAATTAAATGTATAAAAAAAACTCATTTGATAAGGCAAGGGGCATTTAACACCATTGCTCTTCCATCCATCCTCCGTAAATAATACTATTCTAAAAGCATAAGATAACAATTACAGATCATATAGTTGTAATTAATACAAACAGCAAAAATAAAATTACTAGTAGTTTCACATAGGATTTGACTCTATTTCGAAAGCTACTAAGTGAGGGCGAATTTTCTTCTATACCTGGCAGAGAGTTGTACCGTGTAGATGCAACATAAGTAAATGACTTTTCAAACTGTTCAGTACTAGGAAACGGAACATCATACAGATTACTAGCATGATTTTGGCAATCATGAATATCAGATTTCCTAACACGTTGTTATAGAGGTAAAGGAATAGCTTTGTTTCGTTAATATTGTATCAAAAGGCGCTCATGCATATTGTACCAGCTAGAGGCTCGAAACTCATCGCTGGAGTGTGTAACGGTTTCACCGTCCGATCGTATTTATTAAATCACTTCTCGATTATCATTTCATTAATCCCATCTCTAGCTTTTTTGCTTGGAAAATTTTCCGCTTGGAGCGCTTGATGCGGAGTTCCTGATCTGCGATCTTCCTCGCGCTTCCTTTTCACTTGAGCCGCCGATCGAACAACGGCTAGAAATTTCTTCTTTGTAGCACAAGGTTCTATAGCACCATGTGCTAGAATTTTCTAGAATGTGTGTCCGTATAGGACAAAAATGGTGAGTTTTATAATACTATACAGTTTTATTGCTGGATCTGCCTGTAGTTTATAGATAATCGATATGTAAGTGATTTATTTCTTGTACGATTTTAAAATATCCATCGAACGTCATTTTCGACTACTTCGATCATTCGCCATAACTTTAATCAAATCGAGGTGGAAATCGATCCACATCGATTTTACCTCTGTGCGCGTATATATATTCATAGTTCAGTGAAATTATAAGTACGTTGATTATGAATATTCGATGATTATGTTTTTATATCAGAAGCATGTGGAGAAATTTTTGATGACCACCATCTTGTTCTACGCTTTTTTTTGCTATTTCATGATTTTATTTTATGAAAGGCATTTCCAATTTTCGGTTTGATTTTATCAAACTATATAATGTAATTCTAACCTAGAAAATCGTTGGTTCTCTTTTGAGGCAGACTGAGATTGGAAATGCCTTGGCCATTAGGGCACGTTGCTAATGCACACGGTTCTTTTTCAGATTGGGGCCACCCCCTTTCTCTTTCCCTTTCACTTTGCCTAGCCTTGGCCAATATTTTCACCCATGCATGTACCTTGGCAGCGCCATCGCCTTTAACTTCGCCTACAACTGGTTGTGAAGCCACTATATGGAGGTCACCCCTCATAACTGGGACCTCCCCTTCAAGCCCCTGGCCATCCTGGCTTCAGTCGAGTAAAAATGGACCAGCGAAAGATAAGTCGATAGCGTTATAGCAGCGCCAAAGATGTAAAACTTATTTTGTTATTTTTGTAAAATTGTAATGTAATGAAAATGCCTTTTTTTTGTTAAATAAAATCTGTTAAATTTTTGTGTTCTGTTTGTTCTTCTATCCTCTAGCCATGCCATGGTCGACACACAGCTACACGCCTGTAGATGTCTTCATGCCACCGACTGAGCTACCGGAAGCTAATGGTAACCCCCTTTCTGTGATTGTGCAGAAAAGTTGGAATCTTCATTGCATTCCATCTTTTCTGGACTTTTTGCGGAAAGGAAGCGTTACAAGTGGTCATATTTTTTAAAATCGTACGAAAATTCGATACATGAGTTCAGAATTTTTGGGAAAGTTTGTCTCTAGCCAGTATACAATATCAGCATATGACAAAGAAGGCAATATCAAGGAATCGCATAGACTTAGCCTGACTTCTTCTTGTGAAGATAAAAAGTCCTTAGTTTAAGCAGCATCAAGCTTGAAAGAGTAATACAGTTGTGTATTATCAGCATATTGATGTGTACTGCAATATTCCAACTGACTTTTCAAATCTGACGTATTCAGTGAAAACAGCAAAGGTCCTAAAATACTACCCTACAACATATCTCTGGTTATACTACGAAACTGAGATACGTGCCCATTAAATTATGTGCACTGGGATCTGCCTGACAGGTCGCTATTAAAGAAATCTACCACCATATCGCTTAGACCCAGAGATTTAAGTTTTGAATATAAGATTGAATGATCTATTGTATCAGAAGCTTCACTGAAATCGAGCAAAATCAAGCAACCATTCATGTTATTGTCACATACCTTAAATAAGTCATCTGTAACTGCAAGCGCGGTTGTAGTACTATGGCCAGAGCGAAAGCAAGATTGTATAGTTGGAAGTATATCATTAGACGTAACAAATATTTAAAGCTGGACAGCTACGAATTTTCCAGTATATTTTAAAAGGTATATAAATCTTGATCCATGTTGAAGCAAAAGCCTGACGGGTCTACCTGGCAGAACCAGAGCGCGGTGGCATCACAAACCAGAGCTTAGAGAAGCAAAGTTTTGTTGGTGTATTAGATAAGAAGTTGATATCATCATATTCTCTTCTGATCACCTGCAGAAATCCACCTAGAGCTTTAAACGCCACTATGTAAAGTACTGCCAATCGCGAATTTCTTCAGTACTACTGTCAGCCGGCTTAAACGCCGGATCAGTAAGATCAATGTAACTTCTTTACCTAACAGTCATGGTGCTTTGATTTCAAGCTGTGCCTCTGACGGTGTTTGATACAAGCAAGTCTTTTACTTAGGTTAGCTAAGGATAATGAATCAACTCTGATAAATTATGATAGTAGGCCTATGGAAAAGTTCTGTCCGTTTTTAGATTATTATTAGAGCAAAATATGTTTTTTCTGTACCTTCATCGGATCACAGATAGAATATTCTACGTTTATTTATGACATGTTGTATATTTGATTTTTATTAAACGAGTTAACTCTAAGTGCGAAACATTGATCGAGTACTCGCATATTATATCCATTTCTGAACTTCTCACCCTACAGAAAGTCATGTGTTAACAAAAATAGGTGATAGCCCAAGGGTGTAGCTCTGTGATTTTTTATTGGTCTCCAAAGCAGTATGAGATCTGTCCCTACATGTAATATTATATTGTTTCTATTAAACACCGAAGCCCTTTTTTCTTGAAGCACTAACTTAAATCTATATACTATCTGACA